GATCTTGCTCGTTGCAATGCACTTCACTTTACAATAAACACGTCCGCTCAGTTCGACCGCTCGCACGAGAATGTGTGTCTTTGTCAATAGTCTGTGGTCTTTAGGTGAGTTTGGGTATATGGCTATACCGTCTTTAGTGAATTTGGCTTTTGTGTAGTTAATGTTAAGTGTCGTGAGTATTTTTTGTACTTGCGTCCACCGTTCTTGCTTTCGCAAAATTACCGGGAGGACTTGTTTGGTTTTGTCTGTCTGTTTTAGTGTGTTTTGTGGGTGTTTTGTAGGGCGCTTGTGGAGGGTTTAGGTGTCGGGGGGCGCGTGTTTGGTGTTTGTGGTCGTGTTTTATTTGTTTTATCTGATTTTTTATGTCTGGGGGCTTCGTCCTCGCTAGAGAATTCCGCCGTGTGTTTTTTGCGTTTCTCTGTGCGTGTGTGCGCGGGGTGTGTGTGTGGGGCGGGGGTGTGCCTGTCTGGGGTATATTGTCTGTCATTTGTTTGTTGATGAGTTTGTCGAATTTTTGGTGTAATTTAGTGGTTTTCGTAGGAAAGTTTAATTGTTTTTTTGCAAATCGACGATTTGCTGTGTAATGGTAAGTATTTGTTGGTATTGTCGTGTGTTTTGTTCTGTGAGTTCGTGTGTTTGTTGTTTCATCGTCTCGTTTTCATGTTTTTGTGTTAATAGCTGTTCGTATAAATCTGTTTTAGTGGTCATGTTTTTTGGTGAAGCGGAGACCATTGAAGAGATTCTTTCGGTGTCTGTATCGTCCATGTATATGTATATGTTCTCCTCGTTTTCGGAGTCCGACATTTTGTGCTTGTGTGTATGTGTGTATGTAAGGGTGTGTACGTATTAGCCGTGTCTTATGGTGTATTTGTCTGTCTGGTATATTGTTTGTCGGGGGTCACAATTTTAAAGAAATGTATTCTAAAGTATTGCAAATAATTGATAAATAAATAAAAGTGGGACTTACCTGGGCATAACCCTGGCACAGGTACCTGTAACGAAGATGCCGACGGCCTCTATGCTTAATACGGGGATTAGGTGGGTGATTAATAGGAAAGAAAGGGATTCTTTCCAGGTAGCCTTAATAAAGGCAGGTAGATTTTGCTCCTTGCACTGCACTTTCACAAACACGTCTGCTCAGCTCGGCTGCCCGCTCGGAACTCGGTACGAGACTTAAAATACACTAACGCGACACAGACAATACGTACACACACCCAAAAGTGCATGGACGCGGCTGCGAAACACGACATCCCCGTCCTTAGACAAACCGTTGACTACGAAGGTACCTGACGTTAAAGAAACATACAGACGACCTAGACACTTATTTAGTGACCCGAGATGACTACCTTAACCTGATTTCCCCTCCCCCTGCTAACCTTGTATGTTTCAGAAACAGCTAGGACCAAGAAGAACCAAAGAGAAATTATAAAAAACCCACCCCCCCACTTTGGCCGCGGAAAAACTCCGAGGTGACCCTTACGTACCCTATTCCCGCACCGGCCCGCGAGTCATCGACTCAAAGGCTACAGGCGCCACGCGCGCGCCATTATTCCATGGCTAGAATTTGGCCTCAATGATTTGGGATCGAGGGGGATTATCCCTCTTTATCCTGCCTCATCTCGTGTAGACCTGGACAGCCTTCGTAGGTGGGCCCCATCCGTCGTCTAACCCGACCGCAAATGCGACCGGTGTAGGCGCTTTGTGGGACCTCCTTTGTGTAAACCCCGGGGGTGGTGTCATGTTTATGGTTGGGTAGGGTAGTGCGGCTATGCAGCCTGGGATGCGCTTTGCTAAGGTGGCCCTTAGGCTAGCGCGGGAAGGGAGTGGTAAGGAGGGTATGGGGGTGTGTGTATGTGTGTGTGTGTGTGTGTGTCGTTGTCTTCGTTTCTTGATCCTGGCGGTCTCTGAAACAGAAAAGGTTAGCGGGCGGGGGGGATGTCGTTGGGGTGGTCACCCAGGGTCAAAAAGTTGGTGTCTAGGTCTTTTGTGTTTGTCAGTCACGTCGTGTACGTTGTCAACGGCTTGCCTGAGGAGGGGATTGTCATGTCTAGCGGCTACGTCAAACCGTTTCTCCGCGTTTTGTTTTATTGTCTGTGTAGCGTTTGTGTATTTTAAGTTTCGTAATATGTCATAGTTTCTTACGTACCAGGGCGCGTCGGTGGCCGTGCGGAGGGCTATGTTTTCCACAGCCTGTAATGATTAAGGCTACAGGCATTCCGTAGCTACAAGCTATTCCCAAAAACCCACTCCTCATGACGACTAACCCCCGGAGGGCTAGACAAGCCGTCGAAAAAAGAAAAATCAAGGCATTGCCTGCTCCCCTGCCCACGGGGCCAGCCAAGGCAAGAGGAGATCCCGCAGAGTGCCTACATCGACCATGCTTATTTTTTACCCTGGGTGACCACCCCAACGACATCCCCCCATGCCCGCTAACCTCTTCTGTTTCAGAGACCGCCAGGATCAAGAAACGAATACAACGACACACCCACACGCGCACGCCCTTGCCCGCCCACGCCCACACTCACACGCACACCCACACGCGCGCACACACGCACACACACACACACACACCCGCGCTTGCCTAAGGGCCACCTTAGCAAAGCGCATCCCAGGTTGCATAGCCGCACTACCCTACCCAACTATAAACATGACGGGGTTTACACAGACGAGCCGGCGAAGCAAGAAGAGCGCCAGAAGAAAGGGCCCTAGCCGGCGGGGTCCAGCCAGGACAAAACGAGGTCTCACAAAGCGCCTACACCGGCCGCATTTGCGGTCGGGGTAGACGACGGATGGGGCTCACCTACGAAGGCTGTCCAGGCCTACACGAGATGAGGCAGGATAAAGAGGGATAATCCCCCTCGATCCCAAATCATTGAGGCNTAGACGACGGATGGGGCCCACCTACGAAGGCTGTCCAGGCCTACACGAGATGAGGCAGGATAAAGAGGGATAATCCCCCTCGATCCCAAATCATTGAGGCCAATTTCTAGCCATGGAATAATGGCGCGCGCTTGTGGTCGGGGTAGACGATGGACAGGGACCACATTCACGAGGCTGACCTAGCTTACAGAGATAAAGCAGGACAAAGAGGGATAGTCCGCCTCGGTCCCAAATTATCGAGGCCACGTTTAATGCCAACAATAACGGCGTGAAAGGGGAGAAGACAGCAGCCAATCGCATTCTGCTAGAGAGAGATAGCAAAGTCCTTAACCTCCCTCTCTCTCCACAACCTCCGCTGCACTCTCGGCCACTGGGACGCTGCCTCCAGTAGTATATACTTTAAGGCCTTGCCCACATCAGCGCGTTGTATATCCCACAAAACATATAATGATCATATACTACTGGAGGCAGAGTCCCAGTGGCCGAAAATGTAGTGACGGTTTAGAGGGAGCGGGGGATAGGAGCGTATAGGCTATCTATCTCTAGCAACATGCAATCGCGTGCTGCTAGAGAGAGAAAGGCGTATTCCCTCTTTTACCCATCTCTCTCTAAACCTCCGCTATACTCACGGCCACTGAGACGCTGCCTCCAGTAGTATATACTCTTAAGTATAATACAGTATATCCTCTTTGATACTAGGTCTATGAGAGTGATGACCATGGTGATGATTTGGATGGATCTTAGAGCATATACTGTTGGAGACAGCGTCCCAGTGGCAGAAAGTGTAGCGGAGGTTTAGAGAGAGAGGGTTATAGGATTATATTTGCTATCGCTCTCTAGCAACATGCAATCGTGTGCTACTAAAGAGAGATAAGATATACCCTCCTTTACCTCTCTCTCTCTCTCTAAACCTCCGCTATACTATCGGGCGAGATGCTGCCTCCAGCAGTATATGCTCTAAGGGATGGATAACCTTATATATATATATACAGATACATATTTTGGAAAAATGAATATAAATAAATTAAATTCAAAATTTTCCTTAAAAATTAATAATAGAAATGTTAATTTTTTTAGTAATAAAAGTAATTCAACCGCTGAATATTGCTTGGGATCTGTAAAGTGTGTAAAATTTAAAATGTACCAATATGTTGTTATAGATATGTAATTTTTATAGAAGATACGATTATGAAAATTTTATTTGCACTATATTACTTCGGAACCCTTCAAGATCATGTGCTTTTGCAATTCGCAGTTTTAATGTAGAAGTTGCACGAGTAGCAGAACAGGTGTCCCAGGAAACCATTGGATCTATGAGACTGAAATTTTGGGAAGATGCAGTTGAAAAATGTTTTTCTGGCGATATTAAAGCTGTTCCTAAGCATCCTGTAGCAGTGGAATTATTTAAGGTAAAAAAATATGGATTAAAAATAACAAAATGCAGTAATTTTAGCCGACAAAGGCTAACAACGTTAATTGCATTGGAAAATAATGTTCCTTTCGTAGTCATAATATATACATTGGATGAAAACTGCACTAATTTTGTATGTATAACATGTAAAACTGTTTTAGGCAGTGCAGAGTAATAAATTAACTAAAAGATACCTTCATGCATTAATTACATCTAGAAAAGATTATTTAAGTCTAAAAGGATTTCAGAATTTGGATGTTATGGAAAAATATTCTGAACGTACTGTATCCAACATCCTTTATTTAATTTTAGAAGGATGCAATGTTAAAAATATTCATGCAGATCATGCTGCGTCTCATTTAGGAAAAGCACAAGGAATTGTACAACAATTAAGGTAAATATAATTTGTAGAGTTAAAATCTGATTGTAATTTACTTGTATATGATGTATGATTATTAGAATTTATGATTTTAATTACAGGAGTATACCCCTGTCAAGGCGATTAAATTTTCTTCCAGTACCCCAAGATTTATTAATAAAAAATAAGGTAAGTCAAGAAGAAGTGCTCAGAGCAAGGCGTAGTGAACGCCTCAATGAATGCGTATTTGAAATTGCCACCAGAGCTCATCAGCACCTAATGAAATCAAGAAGCCTTAAAGAAAATGTTCCTAAAGAAGGAAGAAGTGCTTTGTTACCAGCTGTACCCATTTTTATTTATTTGGACAAATTACAGAAAGTTAATTATGATGTATTTCATCCTAGTTTGCAAAATAGATCTTGGAAGTTACTACCCGTTTTATGGTTTTCAAATTTAACAAATAAGTATTAGTTATTCAAATTATTCATGCAGCAAAAAAAAAGTGTGAATGACGAGAATTGTGTCAAACAATGATGTCCAGTAACATATATCTTAGATAATGTTCAACGTTTAATTTATTAATAAAAATATACATTTTAAAGCATCTTTTAAATTGAATGATTAGTTAACTGATTATTAAAAAAGAAATTGTAGAAATTTATATTAATTGTTATATTGCTTGGTAGATAAATTATTAAGAAATTTGATCTTTAAACTTAAAAAGAAAAGCATTTTTTTTTCTAAAATGATTCCTAATTAACTTTTTTTTGCAGTTGAAACTTAAAACCATTCTAACTAGGACATTGCTTTTTTTAACAAATTGTACATGCAGTAGCTACTATGAAGAAGCCATACTCTACCATTCTATCAACTTTTATCGCAACTGTTGTTACACCCTGTGTATTGTTTTCTGATAATGATTCTGATGAAAAGAAATCCTTGTTTATAAGCAAGGATAGTAAAATTCTGACTGAGGAATTAATATATAGTGTTTTTTTATAAAATTAATTCTTGTAATTGCATGTATTTTATATACATACAATAGCTTTGTTTTGGTTCTGAAACTGAAGACTGTATGGAACTAATTCATAATCGACACAACTGTATGTGCACTAAACTGTATTCCAACATTTTTTACTTATATTAGATTGCTAATAAATTGCTCGATGTAGGTTCCTAAATTCTTAAAGGGGGGCATTTATATGCGCAACTTTTTGTCCAGCAATATAGTAAATCAAAAACATCTCTTCACTGTACCACTTATATAAGTTCTCTTCAGGGCATGACAACTGATAATACATTCAAAATAAAAAAGAACAATTTTTACCTCGTATGTTTATCTTGTTTCCTGAATTTTGCACGCCTGTTGAATATACAAGAAAGTTGCATACGGTACTATAAACATAATCACACCTCGCAGAATGCATTTAGGAAACTATTAATATATACATTAATTCCAATTAAGTATCTTTAGATTTGCTGAACAAAACAGGAAGGGCATATTTTCTGATGTTTATATGTTCTTTCAGTGTGAATAATTAAAAGAAATTGCTCTAGTTTAGCGTTACATTTCATCATTTCCTGGATGAATCTAATTCTTCTATAATTGTCTTACTAAAAGTGTGATTTCTCCTCTATAAAATGCCAAGACTTAAAATATTTCTTAGAGCGGATGTAGTTATATTAATTTTTTCGATTTCTAAACTGCTCCTTTTGTCAGAATACTTAATAAAAGCACATTTGCATATGTTGAGAATTCCAAACTCAGAACTGCTACCTGCTCTCATGCAAGAATTGTTTGAACAGTTCCAGAACTGTTACAAACTGATTCTGAAAAAAATTTAAACAAGATTTATCTTTGAAGTGGTTCTGAAAAAACCAAAACGGTATTTACAAAGTGCACATGAGCAGATTGTAATAGAACTCAAAGTGCAAACCAAAACAAAGCTAATAACTTCAATAAAGAACCTTTCTGTTAAAATAGCCACTAGTGTAATTACATGTTAGATGATTTTAAATTGCGATATTAAACGGAAATTATTTTGAACAATAAAAAATGACAATAAATAAACACTAATCTATTTTAAAGCATTATATTTTCACATACATAGTTTATATAAAATGAGGCATGATAAAATTATAAAAATAACTAATATAAAGCTCTTCTTAGCAACGCACTAAAAGTACAACAAAATATCAGTCTTTCTTTAAACTGGATAGAAAGCATATATAAATGCTGGTAGCTATTTTGAGCAGCAAGTAGGATCTGAGAAAATTTGATGTAATTTCTCATTTTAAATGAGGAAGCTCATTCAGGTTTTTTGTATGTTTTCTTATAGTTTATCCGTCGCTTCCATTATTCTGATGTTCATATATAGTGAGGCCATGATTGGAGTTGAAAAAGAGAAAAGTTTTTTCTGGTTTTATAAAAGTTAATCTTGTTAAAAAATACTGCTTTTGTTAAAATGTATAAAAATGCAGTTTGAAGGTGGCTTATAGCCCCTACAAAGAAATAATAGTCATTGGTTTTATCCTTTAAACTGAACATTACAAAACTCATCGTATAAGACGAGAAAAGTTATTCAGAATTAAAATTCATGTTCATTTACAAAGTTCAAAGATAGTCGGTCTACTGTATTTTTTAATTTGATAAATGACCGATTTGTAAAATTGTCAAATTTCCAGTGAAAATTTTGTTGTCAACATATGTGGGCACCCTGTATATATAAAATTTTGGAAAAGGGATTGGCTATTTATATTTACCAACCAACTAGTATATTGTATCGAGTACCATAGGTGTAGTGGAGGGGGAGGCCACTCCCCATTCCCCTCATCGTTGCTGCACACTGCAAGTTTCAAAAATGACATTATTAATGGACGCATTTTCCATCCAGTCAAATCAAAAAGTGTTTAAGTTTTGAAATTTTATATCAGTAAATCACTGATTGCATAACTTTTCTTTGTTAATTAAACGAAAAAGTGTATATGGCTTTAAATGTGGGAGCTTTTTTTTTCAGAGGCCTCCATAGAGCTTGCAGCCCTGGGTCCACCCTAAGCAAAAATCTACATCCATGTCGAGTGCTAAAGATAAAATCAACTACATATTTCTACAATTGAACAGAAGTAGAAAGAACAGCTTTTTTCAATGAAATGGAAAATAAAAAATATTTTATGTAAAACTAGAATCATACTTGCTACTTGCTTTAAAAGACCACCAATCAAGCAAATGAAATACAGAAATGTAAATTTAACAACTGGAATAAAGGAACAAATTAGTTGACATTTAATACATAAATAACTGTTTTTATAAAAGACGGAATGTTATACATTCATTTTATTATTGCACAACTTATACAATACATATAGTATATTTATTTATAACTTCAACCTTTAAACAATTATATATTTTTTAATTTGTCTGAATTTATATATAAAAAAATTATTTAATTTTTTTTAGAAAACAACTGAATGATATATAATTTAAATCACAGTACATTTCTAAAAAATATAATACATATAATTGCACACAACTATGGTTCTTACTTGGGACAGTCTTTAAAAGTTAAATTATTTTAAAATACCATAAAAAGTAATTTTTATTCTGCACTTTTGTGCAGAGAATTATACTCTACATTTTTTATTTGGAATCCACTTAAAATATTCCATCAGTGGGGGACCGCCTAACTTTAGTAATTTAAAAAACTAATCCATGAACTATACAATATAAAAGGAAAGATTACCATATAATTGTCTCTTTCGTCAAAGAACCTTAAGCGTATTCTGTGGGGAAATTAGAAAATGTATCTATTGTCTGTTGATATTTAACAGCCATATGATTATGGAATTAGATCTTATAAAGAAGGGACATCTGAAAAGCTGACAGTATACATTTTGATCATATTGATATTTTTATCTACTACAAAATTTGAAGAATTCATCTATTAGTCTGGTCTATAATAGAATCATTAATTTTCACTACAATAGTCATAAATCTACTTCTTTTTGCAAAAAGATTTAACAAAAGCAGTGCTGTCATTTGAGATAAATTCAGACAGTAGGTGTGAAAACACTAATTTTTTTCAAGCTCATCTTCATGTGTGAAATATCTTAATTAGCTTATACTCGTAAGATCGGTACATGTTTGGTTGTAATACAGGAAAGATTTTGCTGAATTAATGAATGCACTAAATTTGTAAGGAAATATTAAAACCCACAATAAAAATGTTGACAAGCCCCATTTCTCTTAATATTTTTGTTAATGAGGTGCATTCGAAGAATGCGAATATTTTTATACTGATTTTTCTGATGCAAAAAAATAAAAACTATTGGACTTCATCTCAAACACTACTGAATTTTCTCATGTTTGAATCATTATAAAAAGTGCATTATTCAATAAGAACAGTACCAATATGTAACAATAAAAAATATCTTTGTACTAAATTTATTTTTTATATCAAATTTATCATTATCAGTGTATACCAAATTTTGACCCAAAAATTAGCTGATATTTCCAAGTTTGAAACATTTTCCAGGTTGCATAAATACAACCTCTCCTCTATATCACTTACCATTTTTCAATGATCACCATTTCCCAAATTTGTTCGTCGATATCTATCTCATGTAAATGTTTAATGAAACATTATTTTTTCGAAATTTATACGAGTATAGTGACTACCATAAAATGAGAATTTTTTTAATGATTTTAGTACAAAAAGAGGTAATTTTTAATTGTCTGATTTTTAGTTTAGGAGAAAATGGTATTTTATGACAAAATAAATAAAAGTAGGCTAAATTCTACCAACATTAATTTATTTTGACCAAATTTAGACTTCTGTATTGAACAAAATCAATGTTTAAAAGAGCAATATAAATGTTTTTTTTTAATTTGTTTGTTTATGTTCGTGTTCAATACAAGATTAAATACTTTTGCAATGATTTTATCCAAAGTATACTGGGTGACCACGAGATTACTACCCCGGCTCTAGCTTAGGCATGAAAAAAGATATCGATTTTAAATTTTGGGCATGCGTATCATTGAATTTGATGTAAAATTAAGTCATAAAAACAACTGACCGTCATTCCTGTTTGACCGGAAATGCCCTAAACTTTGTTATTTCATATGGAACACCCTGTATAGTATTTTTGTTTTCAATTCTGCTAAAGAAACTAAAATATGTATTATGTCCTATACCTATCTTTGACAGTTTCCGAGAAAATCGCGCTTTAAAATGTCAAATGTGTCATTTATAAAAAAAACCCTTTTGAAAGAAAAGAAACGAAGAAAGGGACAAAATCATATGATACCTTTAACTTATTTTAGAAGTACTAAAGTCTGATTATCATAAAAAATGTCGCACTTCCGGCACATCCGGAAAATACCGGAAGTCATCTATAATAGCAATTAACTGCAATAATTTTAATGGAATGCCCTACAACTAATTGAGAATTTGTATTCTACAAACAATTTCGAATCATTTTTTTGTACATTTCCCTATACCCAAAGTTCGGAGTTTTTGAGATATTAAATGTTTAATGTAAAAATGTCATCTGAACAATGCATAAATGGAAAACGATATAATCAGTCAATGCATAGATCAGAGGTGCCTAGCAATCTTAATTTTAATATGGTTGCTATGACAGGTTTTTGTTTTTAGACGCCATATATTCATAATTAATTGATTAATTTGATATTTTGCTGTTACATTTCACGTTTAGTGGTGGTGCTTATTACTAGTGCTGGCAAGTGAAATCGGTTTTTTGGATAGTCGGTTAACCGGTTTCGGAAAATTCGGATTTTTACGAAATCCAAAAACCGGTTATTCGATTCTTCAAATATCCGATTATTCGTTAATCCACTTCCTTTTTTATTTTAGACATCGATTTGTCCGATTGCAATTGACCTTTTTTTTAGAGATCGATTTCTTCGTAAACAAATTTGACTTCCAGATTTTTGTAGACCTTTTTTTTAGACATCAATTTCTCTGGGTCTGTCTTTGTAAAGCACCGATTTTTAGATATCCGGTTTTGGCGATTCAAGTAACGGGTTATTCGAATAACCGGTTTTAGCAACTATTCGACTAACCGGTTTTATCTGAAATCGGTTTTTACGGAACCCGGTTTCACTTTTTTCCGGTTTTTGCCAGCACTACTTATTACTTCTTTTTTATTTAAAATGCGTTTTTACTCGCAAACATTAAATTGACATTTTACTAGTGCATGGAAAAGCGAGAAAAAATTGCAGAGTAGCAAAAGTTTTATACAGGCGACGATATCCAGATCGTGCACAGCCACGACAAATATTTTCCTTGGCTTGAACGTCACTTAAAAACAGAAAAACTTGAGGAAGAACCTAACGAGTGCATTGTTGGTAAAGAGGTGGAGATTAATACTCTGGCGAGTATTAAGGTAGACCCGACTACTTCAGTTAGGCAAATTGCTGCTGATATTGGAATTGGACGGGAAAGCATCACAAAGATTTTAAAAAAGGTTTAAACTTTTTTCTAACGAATCACGCTTCACAGATTTGGGTATGTTCAACAGAAATAATTCAAGATATTGGGCAAAAGAAAATCCCCACTTATTTAGACAAGGAGCTTTCCAGGAAAGATTTGGAGTTATTGTGTGGATGGGAGTAATTGGAACGTGCATCGTTGGACAATTTTTCTTTGAAAATCCACTAACAGCAGACCAGTATTTACAGTTTTTAAACAATGAAATAGCTGACTTTCTTGAAAATTTACCAATAAATTAATATTTACGCATTTATTACCAACAGGACAGAGTTCCAGCTCATAATGCCCGAAGGGTAATGGATCATTTAAATCAGGAGTTTGAGGATCGTTGGATAGGTACAAATGGACCAATTAGATGGCCAGCTAGGTCCTGCAATATCACTCCCTTAGATTTTTTCTATTGGGGTCTATATGTCATCAAATGAATGGTGAACAATTTGAACACTTGATTTATGGATGATCTGTTAAATTTTTCTTTAATTTCTTATCATTACTGTTACCATGTTTTTTAAAATAAATATTATTGTTAATGACTTTGACCTTAATACTAATATTTAAATAGATGCAAATATGGCGTCTAAAAACAAAAGCTTGCCATAGCAACCATATTAAAATTGAGATTCCCAGGCACCTCTGATCTATGCATTGACTGATTATATCGTTTTCCATTTATGCATTGTTCAGATGACATTTTTACATTAAACATTTAATATCTCAAAAACTCCGAACTTTGGGTATAGGGAAGTGTACATAAAAATGATTCGAAAACAAAAATAACATACAGGGTGTTCCATGTGAAATAACAAAGTTTAGGGCATTTCCGGTCAAACAGGAAGTGACGGTCAGTTGTTTTTATGATTAAATTTTGCATCAAATTCAATAATACTCATACTCAAAATTTGAAATCGATATCTTTTTTCGTGCCTAAGCTAGAGCCTGGGTAGTAATCTCGTGGTCACCCGGTATATTATAGTAATCTCGTGGTCACCGGTATATTATAAAAATATTATTTCTCAGATCTGATTATTAAGAAATTTATTTTGAGAAAGAAAATTAACTCCAACAATAACAATGATTAATGTGTCTTTGGAAAATATGTTCTCCAATATTTCCAGATTTATTAATATCCCTGAAATTTTCAGGTTTTTCAAATTGGTATACACCCTACAAAATAAAATTTCTAAATTTGGATTTAAACTAAATTAAAAAAATGTGTGAAATATACAAAATTTGTATGGAATAAAAAAACACCTGCAGCCATCTGTAAAGATAATATTCCTCCTTAAAACGAGTTTAAATTCTCACTACATAGTTTTGCCTCTCACACGATACCTATCTGGAAATATAAAAGCGTATGGAATACTCATAAAGTTAAAATAATTCCTAGATTTTAATTGAGTTAGTAATTTTCTCAGGCTCTTGAAATTTAAAAATGTATCATAAATAATTTTAAAGATGCCTCAAAACTTAACCTATAAGTTAAAACTACAAGCAAAGAATCAAATGTAATTTTAAGTACACAAATAACTTATCCAGTGTATTGGTACGTAACAGCAACTGGATGCATTTGACGAGGTATGTGCTGCAATCTCTGTATGTGACAGTTGCGGCACATGAGTCTACCGTCAAGTGGATAACAACGCTTGTCTGGTTCATCGGTAAGTTGCATTCCACATTCCTCACAAATATAACAATCTACATGAAAATCTTTATCCATTGACACCACGCGGACGGTCTCTTCAGTTCCCTCAACCGGGGTAATTCCTGTAAAAATGTTAAAAAATATGAATAATTGTTACTGCGATTAATAAACAATAAAAAAACTATCAGACTAATGGTGAAAGTATAGTTGTTACGATGTCAATTAGAACCTGTAAATCTTGAAGCACAGGACCATATGCACTTGTCCTGAAATTTCTTCCTATGGTTTGACCATGATGTGTCTTGTAATTTATACTCGAATAGTAATTCGATGAGTCCGGTATTGGTAAACTAGTCCGCCTGATGTAGAATTGACGGTGGCACGCTGGTCATCAAAGCAAACCTGTATTGGTCCACTTGGTCGTAAATAATTTTTTTGTATGGTACACGGGTTTACTTAGCTTTGCCACTTTGCCAGTGCAGTGCAGAGCATTGGCAGGTATGTTGTTGGTATAATACGTATTATTATTTATTAGTTGATATTATTATTTGTTCATATCACAACCAGGTAATAGTTATTAAAATAAATGTTATATGTAATTATCTAGTAATTTAGCGTGGCTCTCTGGAGACTCTTTGAAGCGGAAGATAACGAAATGACTCGGGAAAATCCCCAAATAGTGGAGCCGGTCGAACGTATCTGAATATTTAAAAATTGAAAATGAATGAAATTGAACAATGTGATAAAAAAGTTAGGAAACGTATTAACAAATTAACTAAGATATCAAAACGACAATTTATCGCGTAATTAAAGAAGGATTGATCACGGTACAAAGAGGAAACGGAAAAATACAAAATTAAAGAAAATCAACGACTTTACCAGATGTAATGCACAATTTATAATATGTATAAAGAAAATAAAGTTCCTACTTTAAACATGACTCGAGATAAATTAAGCGATTATCCTGATTATAATTATAAATCTTTAGATATACAGGGTTCCCCATATTAGACTATGCAGTTTAAAAGTCGAATAAAAACTTTCTGATCAAAGTAAATGAACTTTTTAATGGACTGACATGTAGCTAATTTTATGGGATTTATGACTGAAATAAATAATAATTCAATTTTTAAAGATCATATCTTCCAAATGCCCTCCTTCGACTTCAATGCAATTTTGAATTCTAATTTTAAAATTTCGCATTACTTGAAGAAGCAAATCAAACCAATATTACCAAATGATGCTACACCATTAGGATCACATTTTAACAGTCTCTAAGCAACGACAAAAGTAAACACTTCATTGTTTTAGTCACAAATATCACAACTTAATTTAATTTTCATTTTTTAACAATTTTCATTGCGTTATGAATTATTCAATTCAAGAGCGTGTGTTTTCCGTGGAAGTCTACATTAGAACTGGTTCAGTGGAAGAAGTTCGGCGTGCATTTCGACGGCAGTTTGGAAATAATAATAGGGGCGATGCACCAACACGCGTTACAATTTTGGCATGGGTTCGTCATTGGCGTGAAAATGGCTCTGTGCTAAACATTAAAAAACCTGGACGTTGAAGAACGGTGCGTACGCCTGCAAATATTGAACGAGTGAGAGCTGCCTTCACAAGAAGCCCTAAGAGATCTGCTAATCGGCAATCACTTGCTCTAGAAATATCCAAGGGAAGTCTCCACAGAATTCTGCATAAAGATTAAAAATTTCACCCCTGTAAATACCAAATGGCGCATCACCTCAGTGATACAGATAAAGAAGCGAGGTTGACATTTTGTCAAGAATTTTTAAATCAGCACCATGGAGGAATACATAATTTGCTAATGAGCGACGAAGCAAATTTTCATTTGGACGGTGTTGTTAACAAGCAAAACTTTAGGTACTGGGGAGCAGAAAATCCTCACGAACTGTTTACCAAAAACCTCCACAGTCTAAAAGTCGTTGTGTGGTGTGGTGTAGCATCATTTGGAATTATCGGTCCTTATTTTTTTGAGGATGAAAATAACCGTCCTGTTACAGTTAATTCCGAGCGCTACATAAACATGTTGCAAACGTTTCTTATCCCCGAACTAATGACGGGGACTACTAAATGGTGCCATATTATTCCAACAAGATGGAACTACAGCTCACACAGCCAGAAACACTATGAGGATTTTGCGAGATTTTTTTGATGGCCGTATAATTTCCCGATTTGGAAATTTGAATTGGCCCCCGAGATCTCCCGATTTAACGGCCCCAGATTTTTTTCTCTGGGGATACCTGAAGCAAAAAATTTATGCAAGTCGTCCAGCAACAATTCTGGAGTTGAAAGAGCAGATTCAAAATAAAATTGCAGAAATAAATGGAGATTTGCTGCGTCGAGTGATGCAAAATTTTGAACTTAGGATTCAAAATTGCATTGAAGTCGTAGAAGGGCATTTGGAAGACATGATCTTTAAAAATTTACTTATTATTTATTTTCGTTATAAATCCCATAAAATTAGCTACATATTAGTCCATTAAAAAGTTAATTTACTTTGATCAGAAAGTTTTTATTCGACTTTTAAACTGCATAGTCTAATATGGGGAACCCTGTATTATATACTTTATTACAATGCGATTTTAAACATAAAAAACTTGACAATCGTATGGTAATTATATGGTAATATAGCTCGGAATATAGGTAGTATATCTAGACGAGACAGGGCAAAATTTTTCTGGACGTCTATGGATTCCGTAGAATTTATGAGTTAAGTGTTTTTATGCGGTTCTAATTGAGATCGTAACAACTATAACAATCATTCACAAATTTAACATTATTGAATATTAAATGGCAAATAAATTCCTATTAAAATTCTGTTAACACCTATAGTAATGGATACTTCTTATTGTGTGACTTATCTTGGATATTTTTTATACAATTAGGTTTATAAATAGTTTTTTACTCTACTTTATTGACTCCTATATATCCACAGGTTTGAATATTAATACCTTCGAATGTTTCCAGGAACAATTTGGCACCGTGATCAAGAATTACACATTTTGAGAAACTCTCTATAGCGTATTCCCACGAAAGATTTGCATCTTCATGCTTTCAAAGTGCAATTGACTGACTGAAGCCTACTGGCCATGCAGAGCAAAGAGAGTTCGTTGAATGGATTATGGAACAAGTGGATGTTGATTTTTCAACAAAATCATCTTTAGTGATGAGGCTCATTTTCATCTTGATGGCTTCATTAATCAACAAAATTGTGGCATTTGGGTTTCAGAAAATCCATGAGTGATTGGAGTGATTGTTGAGAAACACATATATCCACACTGTTTGGTGTATATTTTCAGCTGGAGACATCATCGGACCATTCTTTTTCGAAAATATGGCTGGTCAGTTTTGTGCCAATATTGCATATGGATGTAGACAACACGCCAAACAGCCCGAGAATCAATGCAATTATTGCACGAGTCATTTCCCGGTTGTGTAATTTCCTGTTTTGGCGATCAGAATTGGCCGCCCAGATAACGCTGTTAGACTTTTCCTTTGGAGTTTTTTGAAGTTTAAGGTTTATGCCAACAAGCCCACAACCCACTCACACCTTGAAGGAGGAAATTGAGTGCTGTATTTAAGAAATTCGGCCACATTTATGGAATACGGTCATGGAAAATTTTGACAAAAGAGTGCACGTGCCAGCAAAGCCGTAGAGGCCATTTACCCTATATGCTTTTTCATACATAGCCCTATACTGCATACTTTATGAATCAATAAAATATTTACAATTTTTATTTAAAAACCTGTTTTCCACCAAAATTACTTCTTGCATTAATTTTGGAACACCCTTTAGTACCATTTTCGTTTATTAATAGAAATATCTCATAAATTTATTAAACATGAATATCAAACAAGTTCTTTGGTGCCAAATGGAAAGTATATCCTTTATCGTTTTTAGACGATATTTTTAGTCTCACATCGAGTTGCCAACCCTGAGATCTTGAGAAGACTTGCACAAATAATTGCAATTTTTTTGCGAATGATTAATATAAACAGGTAATTTTCACCAAAATTAAAAATTTTCTTAAAGTTACAGCATTATGAAAACAGATTTGTCGAATAGATAATCAGGGGGGTTTTCTAACAATGTGACACAAAAATTGACGTTTTATAAAAAAAATCAATGGTATCTAGTTCAAATATTAATAACATCATAAGGTGTCTAACGAATAAAAATGTATATTTTTAAGAATAATGTCAATTGTTCCTAAAATATTGAATTTATGAGTTATTTTATCACACCTGGTATAATGGTTTACATGCTGCATATGAATTAAGGATCGACCAATCTGATTTTTCTCGAAACCACAATATTTATCGATTATAACAGATTTACGAAAATCCGCAAAGATCAATTTAAAATATCACATATTTAAAACAGCAACTTAGTAAATACATACAATTGTACTGTGAAAAATTAATGTATTAAAAATGTAATTTACTTACATAAGTTAAAAGACAAAATATTCCATTTAATGAGATTCACCTATCTTTTTTTGCTGTTTTTGTAATTAATAATGGTTGTTATGATATTTTTGTACAAATTGACTTATATTTTAGATAGGTATCTAGTTTTTTTTAGATCACGTAATAATGATGTAAATTTTAAGAATAATTTTTTTAACAAAAGAAATAATAAGTATGGATGTATGTTTAAAAAATATATATATTTCTCTATATTCCAATATAAACTTAGCCCGAAACTTAGAAAATTAACATTTTTCAATGAAATAATATCTAAAAAAAAGATTTCAAGCCTTTAAAACATTTTTTTAATTTCTATTTCAGGCTAAATTAAGAGTAAATATTTTTATTTTTTAATAAAATTATATAACTATCACCTTTCCAGTTTTTCCCAATGTATTATAATAACAATGTATCAACCAATAAAAGCAGCAGTCGATCCCTAATATGAATATGATCCTTCTGAAACTGGCATTACTCCAGATATTTACAGCCAGTGAGAGAAATCTATTACGAGTAATTAAAGTCTCGGCAAAGTCAACTCCCAATGAAGCCTAATTTGAAACTATTGTTATTATTTCCTAATACATACCTTTCCCGCAAGAGGCACATTTAGGGGCAAACATTCGATGATAATCGTTAACACAATAAATTTTGTTGTCCACATCAACAGTAAATGGTACGCCATCTAAACATTCATTACAAATACAGCAACGGAAGCATCCTGGATGATAGGATTTGCCCATGGCTTGCAAAATCTGTAGGAAAAATTATTAACTACAACATTTTTCTTAAACTAATTAAGTTTACCATTTCCATAATAAGATGTCCACAGATTGCACATTTTTCTGCAGTTTGTTGGAAACCAGAGTACTGGAAGTAAAAGAATTTATCATTTATAAAATAAAAATTTAAATGTAAAAGTCATGCAGTAAGTAAAATTAAGGTGCAGTAGAACCCCTCATATCCGACCTCGGGATATCCGTCACCCCTCCCACTTTTCTCGAATGTACGAATCTGTGAATCACGTTGACAGGCTTTCGAAATTGTGATGAAATACATCGAGTAGCATCCAAATGCAAGACCGATGGATGTGCCATGCATTAATAGTGGAATGATACCTCTGCTAAAGCAAGATTAAGTACATTAAAAAATATATATAACTGAATTTTTTAAATAAATTTACATATGTATGTACATATGTTTATGTACTTACATGCATACTTATACAGGGTGTCCGGAAATGATGAGCAAAAAATTCAGGGGATAATTCTAGACCGAAAATAAATCCTACCTCTTTCTATAACATTTTTTCCAAAACTGATTATTAACGGAGTTACAGGGTGTTAAAGTTAAATTTTATTTACAGTTTTTTTGCAATATCTTTTGCCACACTCATAATATTTTGACGAAATTTCGTATATGGGGGTTTTTCGGGATGAGGATTATAAATTTGCCCACCGTTTTTTCGCATTTTGTAGAGGGCGCCACATACGAGCCTTTATTTTGATTTGAATGGTTCCAACTTTTTTGTGCTACACTTTATGCGAAATTTGACTGAATATTTTTGTTGTCCTAACCTTTTGACATAAAAAAGGTGTACTTTATTTGATTCGATAAATCTAACCGTTTTCGAGAAAAACGAGAAAATAACATTGCTTGCATGTGATAAATACGAAATCATTTTAATTTATTTTCTACATTAAACCTAGCATGCTATGGAAACAAGCGCTTAGTTGCCTTGGAAACAAGTTGGTGGAGAATTAGTTTTGACAGATAGTAATTTTGTAGTTCTTTTCTAGTAGTAAGTTCTAAGTTCTTTTGTAGTAATTGTTATCATAAAAATAATAATAAAAATGAACAACAATTACTCTATCGTGGAGTTGCGGGACATGCATTGTTATTACAGTTTAGCTGCTGGCAATACTCTTGCAGCACGAAGTTTGTATCGCGAAGCATTTCCAAATAGACACCTACCCGAAACGCGAATGTTCAGTACTATTCATCGAAGACTGGGAGAATTTGGATCGTTCAAAACTAGAATTTTTGATGTAGGTCGACAACGGAATACTAGAACAGCAGAAGCAGAAGCTCGTATTTTGAATTCGATAGAGAATAATCCCAATGTAAGTAGAAGAAAAATTGCTATTCAGGAGGGCATTCCAAAGAGTACATGAAACAATACGCGATCTAATCTTCATCCGTACCATTACCAAAAGGTGCAAGCCTTATCTGCCGTAGGTCCTGCTGCTCGTGTGAATTTCTGCAATACAATTAGAATACTTCATAATGGTGACCAAAATTTTGTTCGTAATATCCTTTTCACGGACGAAGCTGGATTTGGCCATGATGGCTTAATAAACCTCCACAATGAGCATTTTTGGTCTGATGAGAATCCTAATTTATCAATAGAGCGTGGTTATCAAAATAAGTTTTCCGTCAACGTGTGGGCCGGTATTGTAGGGGACTACTTAATTGGGCCACATTTCTTTCCACAAAGACTCAATGGTGAAGTTTACTTGGATTTTTTAAGAAACCACTTACCTATTCTATTGGAAGATGTACCACTCGGATTAAGAAATGCAATGTGGCTGCTTCAAGATGGCGCGCCACCGCATTTTAGTTTAGCGGCCAGAGAATTCTTAAATGAAACTTTTCCTGAAAGGTGGATAGGACGCGGTGGTTTTGTACAGTGGGCCCCTAGATCCCCTGACTTAAACCCAATCGATTTCTTTTTTTGGGGCTATCTGAAGACGCTTGTATACAGGACACCTGTGAATAGCGTCGATGAACTGAGAGAAAGAATTGTTGCTAATTGTGAGGTAATTAAGCAAAAGGAAGGAATATTCCATAGAGTTCGTCGGAATTTTTTAAGAAGAATTAATTTATGCATTGAAGAGGAAGGACGTCACTTTGAACCTTTGATTTGAATGTTTAATTTGTATTTGTATTGTTCTAGTAACTTATGTATTTTAACCTTATGATTTTGTTAGTAAACCATTCTTTATTTGTTGAGGACGTTATTTTTTTTATTATTTATCATTAACCACCATCAGCGTAACAACAAATTTTCACAAAATTACTATCTGTCAAAACTAATTCTCCCCAAACTTGTTTCCAAGGCAACTAAGCGCTTGTTTCCAAAGCATGCTATGTTTAATATAGAAAATAAATTAAAATAATTACGTATTAATCACATGCAAGCAATGTTATTTTAGCGTTTTTCTCGAAAACGGTTAGATTTATCGAAATAAAGTATATCTTTTTTATGTCAAAAGGTTAGGAGAACAAAAATATTCAGTCAAAAGTCGCATAAAGCGTAGCGCAAAAAAGTTGGAACCTTTCAAATCAAAATAAAGGTTCGTATGTGGCGCCCTCTACAAAATGCGAAAAAACGGTGGGCAAATTTATAATCCTCATCCCGAAAAACCCCCAAATACGAGATTTAGTCAAAATATTATGAGTGTGGCAAAAGCCATTGCAAAACTTTAAATAAAATTTAACTTTAACACCCTGTAACTTTGTTAATAATCAGTTTTGGAAAAAATGTTATAGAAAGAGGTAGCATTTATTTTTGGTCTAGAATTATCCCCTGAATTTTTTGCTCATCATTTCCAGACACCCTGTATATATGTACCACAGTATTTCTGTTTACTCATCAGGAACATTTACATATGTAGGTACATAAATACTCGTTTATGTGCGTTTTTATTAATTTTTTGTTGTTCCTCGGATTATTCGACATTTTTTGTGTACCGACCACGCTCCGGTCCCGTGGGTGACGGATATGAGGGGTTCTACTGTATTTTATTTTAAAATGTATGTATGTAGGAAATACACTTTTCTTTTGATAATTTCTATTTTAATAAGTTGAAATTTCTACTAAAGTATTCGTATACAATTATTATATTATTACCTAAGTGTCCAGAAACTATGAGTAAAAAATTCAGGTATGGTTGTATTCATAAAACTAATATTAAGTTTCTGACATTACAGTTTTTCTTTAATTAATATTTTGCCATAATTTTTTGTTTCAAATTTAATGTTTATTACTGCAACAATATATATAAAAAATTAATTAAAGCCAAAAAGGCAGTATAGGACTGGCTATGATTAAGGCCCCTCGAATTCAGCAGAGAGCTCTTTTAATTTTTAACACAAACTGCATGAATGGAAATTTGAGATTCGAATTTTGCAATTTTTGCACCATAGGGTTGCTTCCTTAGGTTAAATTTTATATAAAACAGATAGATAGAACATACCGTATTTCCTAAAATAACGTTTACTGGGGGAAGGATGACATACTCTATTGACAGAAGTAAAATTAGGAATTTAAAAATGTAGTTTTAAGTTGGCGAATATGTACAAGACGTCTTCTAAAAATATAATCATTCTTTGGTGCGTTATTTTTATTAAGAGGGTGTTCGCCAGGTGCCCTATGATCTCACATAAATGAAAAATTATCAAACAGAAATCTCTATCAGTAATAAATAAATAATGATAAATGAAATGCACGAAAATACGTACCTGATTTTTACAGTATATGCTGAAAATCTCCTCCATTGCTGGCCAAACAGGCTTTAACACAGGTGAGTCGAAAGTTGTTTCCTTGCATTTTCTTCTATACCACGTCTTGGTAAATTTTTGGGTTTCAGCGCCTGTATTTTCTGATCATATAGATATAATCCATGAAGCTTTAAATTTCGTTGTACAGTCATGACATATTTGAAATCTTGTGGCTAATCCTCGAGTAATGATACAAAGATCATCTTCAATGGCATTTAAAATTCCTGATTGTTGGTTTCTCACTCTCTGAGTTGTTCCTGTCCAACATTAGTGTATTGGCGTTCATAACTCCCATAATCTCTTAAATATTGATTGAACCAATTCTACAAATATTTTCTTATTCGATATTTGTTGGTCAGCATAAACCATCTGATATTGTCTTCCTGCAGCAGCATCGTTTCCTCCTGACAAAAGTAGGCTCTAAACCATATCAACCCTTTTTTGATTTGTATACATGCATTTTCATAATATCACACAGAAAATTGAAAATGAACACACAAAAATACACTATCACCACTAAACTGAAATAAATAACTTTATAATGTGATATATTTACACTACACAAACACCTTATTATAAACCGACAAAATAAAATAAATGTAGCAAAAAAGAGGTGATGACATGTTCAACCAATTTCGTTTTGCCAAATTGGGAGTTTTTAGAAGCATGGGAGGCTAAAGCCTCTCAAAACACTTTATGGAATTAATTTAATTTTCTTTATAATTATAAAGTAATTACTAATATGAGCCATATTTCTCACACAAATCAATGTTGCACCAAAAATACAGCAGAGGCTACACTCCTCTGCAGACACTAAACACCTTGTACATAAGGACCAGATAGTTTGATTCGCTGTAGCTTTGCCACACTAGATTCATACAGCTTTTTAATTCTCAGTTAACATTCGTAAGCGTTTGGATCAGGATTGGATTTTGCTTAAATTTAAACGTGTAGGGCGTACTGTTCATCATGTCGTTGAGTATAAATAATAATAAATAATTAACATAAATTAGGTTTTTGCTGTGATTAAATATTATTATCTATTCAGCTGAAGTGGCTGAATAAAAAAAAAGAGTAGATATATTTTGTTTAGAATCTCATAGCTTTTTAACAGTACTTGTTTTATCTTTCCTTAATGCACCCGTATATTTACATATGACCATAGTATAGCTCATCTAAATTAAGTCAAGGTCAGGGGTTATTTCACACTGAGAATAGTAACACAATTGGGTTTAACCACTTGAATGATTTTATAAATATATTTCACATCAATCAGATGAGAAAATATTTTTATTTTTTATTATCTATTTTTTTTTTAAAATAGGAAGAATAATTATTTTAAAACAAAAAATGAGTTTTATTTACAATTAGTACGTATCTACATATAATATTAATTAATATTTAATAAATCAAGTAAAAAAATGTAAATTTTTAAAAAATCGTATAAGTTTGTTAATCTTTAACAGTTCATCAACAATAACACAGCACAAGTTATTATATAACTTACTTAGGTGTATTGTCCAAATTCATTTAATATTTTATTAAACTTACATTTTAAAAATGTTTTTTTTTTGCTTTGTTGAATTCTGCTTTGAATAAACTTACTTACTTACTTTGTTACTCAAAAACCAAATATTTTTAACTTTTTTTTTTCGTAGATCGTATTTATTGTTGTGAATATGCAGTAAAACATTGTCGGTGAAATTTGCGGACACCCTGTATATCTAGTAAATTTTGTATAAAGAAAAACATTTTGAATTTTACTTATTCTTTTCTTCCAACTGGTGTAAATTTAAAAATATAAAATAAATAACTCAAATATCAACTCAACACAGGTATCAAATTGTTGCGCTATAAATAATTTTTTGGATATATAGCACTATTTATAGGAAATTCTGAAATAGATGTAAATAATAAACTTGTTTAGACAAACAATCTGACAACTGTAAATATTAATGCAAAATAAAAACATTATTTGCACCCAATAAAATCTATCAAATCACCTTGCAAATCACCTTTAGTTACATCGTTTCAGTTTATAACAATATTGCTTGCCAACACAAACAAGGAACATTCCATCTTTATTTATTGGCTGTATTGGAAAAATTAAAATATATTGACTCAAACATTCAGTCATTTGAAGAAGTCTTATAGAAATGTAATATTAATTATAGTATTACATTAATTGTAAAAAAATAACTTCCAAGTAATGTAATTTCATTTATATTGAGTTTCTGAAAAATTCTGCAAAGCCATACATTAATTTTATGGATAGGATCAATTCAGAAATTTTTTGCTCAAGGTTTCCGACATCCTGTATATTGATAGTTATTTATTTATATCCAGAATGTGCCACTTAACAACTCAACATTTCTCGGCGCTTCCTTAAAAACTGACAAGAATTGCGCTGTATTTTTTTTTATACAAGTTCTTGATCAAAATATTTTGCAGTTAGATAAGCACTAGAGCAGGGGTCGGCAAGTAATTTTAGGTGGGGTCCGGATACTTTTGAAAACGTTTAACGAAGTCCACAAAAAAAACTCACATTCCTTAGTAATTTTTTATTTTAATTTGCACTCACAAATTTAATCTACCTACTAACCATTAAGAACTCAAATCAATCACGCAATTGTAGTAGAAATGATAAGGGTGGCGACTCAACACTCAACATTTTTTAAATAATTTAATTGAGTAATTTATACTTAAAAAATTTTTGGGAGTCCATTATTTTACATTCTGCGGTCCGGATCTGGACCGCGGTCTGCCAGTTGCCGACCCTTGCACTAGAGGGTAATAACCAAATTATCAGGTTTACCTCGAAGTGGATTAAATTAAATTTTTAGTTTTTAAGGAAAGGCCAGAAGGAAGTTATGTAGCGTAACACATATTATATTCAAGGTTCCTACATACGTAAAAACTTTTGCAAATAACATTTCCAAAAAAAAACTGAAATTTTAATAATTATTTCTAAACTTATCTTTAATTTAATAAACTTTTGCAAGTGTTATTTACAACTGAATTAAATTTATAGCTTCAAACCAAAATGACGCAAGCAACTTTGAAAATTCGTTCTAAATTTCATTTGTTAATTTTTAATTAGAAATAATATACATAGAAGAAAATTATTAATATCAATTAAAATGACAATATAAACATTTTATAATTACTTCTAAAAAGATAGAAAACATATTAAAAAATATTTAAAGTAAAAATAATCGTTAATCTAAAGTATCTTTGCAATTTATACTAATAATTGAACTTTTCCAGTCCACTATAAAAAAAATATCAAAAATAATGTATCTGCATTTTTTCAACTATCAACATCTTGTAAAATATTTTATCTCTCAAGAGGTTACAAAATGTTTTCTAATTTCGTGTACCTATTTCACTAAATGATACTTACTGATTTAATAATAATTAAAATATATTATTTTTTTGAAGATAAAAAAAAAATTCAAAATTTTACGTGTTGCAATATTTGCAAAATTGTTAATTCCTAATTAAAATGTTTGTCAATGTCATTTGGGTTTGCAGAGAATTAATATATAAAACGTTAGTAATAAAAAAATTAAAGAAATTTGTAAATACATTTGGTTTAGGGCTTACTAGATAGTCTTCTTCACAGTAGACCCTTCCATGAACATTGTAGAAAGCTTTGCCCCTTAAAGCTCTCCCACAGGAACAACAAATAAAACAATTAGTATGGTACAAATTGCCCATAGCTTGGCAAGCCTGTCCGGCACCAGTAACTTTTTCGCCACAAGTGTGACATATTCCTAGAAAATATTTTTAGATTGCAGTAATAATAGCCCGGGAAGCAGCGACATTATTGATGTAATTATTCCTACAAAGCTGATTTTTTCTCATTTTGTTGTTTTGATATCGTAAGTAAACGGAACGGCAGTCTACCGCGCCAACATGTAACATTTTAAACATGTAAATAAATAATACTTAAATGCCTTATACCTACAAGGCTGAAACTTTTTAGAGTGATCAATTATACCTAAAAATACAGTATAGTGATAGTCTACCGCGTCGGAAGGGGGGCCATCAAGGGTCTACCACCCACGCAAGGTGTTGAAAAATTAACTTTTTTGACTTATTTCTACAAGGCTGAATTTTTTTTCTCAAATACTTTAGTTTATAAGAGAACCAAAAAAAAAAAGTCTACCGATCATCTAAGGGTGCAAAGCCTTGATAGACGCAATGGAATGCACGATCTCCCGAGCGCAGTCGCTGCGCCGATTCACTGTAAGCCGCTCTGAATAATAACTCATACCGGGATTAAATTACAATCTACAAAGCTGCTTTTTTGTCTATAGATATCTTACAATAATTATTGTCAAATAAACGTCTTATACCTTCGATACGAGGTGGCTAAAGCTTCGGTAGACGTGGCGAAAGTTTTTGCGCGGAAGTTGCTTAAAATTCCAAATTTATTATTAATTACAATTTTTTGAGCTTACACCATTATTTAAACGTATGATATAGTAACAACGAGCGAGCGTTAGCGAGCGAGATTTTTGCTAGTATAATAGGTATTAACAAAAGTTCAAAAATTTTTTTTTTTAAATAACTGACCTTTTTCTTTTTTAACATTGAATAATTAAATTTATTTCACTTTTACTTATAATTTATAACAATAATACTTTTCGATAATAGCGCGCGAAATGCTTGATTTGCGATTCATCATCACATTCGTCAATTACACTCGTGCGAGAATTATTCTATCGCACTAGTATCGAACAATATTTTACGACACTTATTTATAAAATAAATGATAACAACGCAAATGTTTTTTATTACAACAATATAGTAATTATATAAAAAATAAATATATTTTTCTTATTCCTCATCGCTACTGACATTTGATTCCTCATCGCCTTCCATATCATCACTATCTTCATCCTCATCATCTTTCTGGTCACACACTCCATCATTTTCTTTAAGGTATTGACAACCGTCATTTGCAATTTCTGTATCTGCAAATAGCAATATATTATTAAATATTTATTATATTATGCTAACATAAATTCACCCCCTTTAGGGTCTGAAAGTCATTTTTTAATTGAGTTTTAGACCTCCTTAAAATGCAAATATGTGTACCTGAATCTTTATCGTTCTGTAGATCAAACGTCACATCGATCAGTGATGTTTTTGAAAGCTTACAAAACTACTAACGATAAAATCTTTCGTCAAAAGGTCAAGAGTTTCGATGCATCTGCTTTACCACCTTGTCAATCAGAGCTCCGAGAACACATACTCCGAACAGCATATATTGCACAAATTTGGAGTAATGCTCACTTAAAAGAGCCTACAACATTATCCCCACTCGACTGTGGCTGGAAAGTGGATGAGAATGCAAGATATGATTTTAATTGGTTTAGTGGCGACCAATTGCCTCAGTCAATCGATGATGTGACGTTTGATCTACAGAACGATAAAGATTCAGGTACACATATTTGCATTTTAAGGAAGTCTAAAACTCAATTAAAAAATGACTTTCAGACCCTAAAGGGGGTGAATTTATGTTAGCATAATATAATAAATATTTAATAATATATTGCTATTTGCAGATACAGAAATTGCAAATGACGGTTGTCAATACCTTAAAGAAAATGATGGAGTGTGTGACCAGAAAGATGATGAGGATGAAGATAGTGATGATATGGAAGGCGATGAGGAATCAAATGTCAGTAGCGATGAGGAATAAGAAAAATATATTTATTTTTTATATAATTACTATATTGTTGTAATAAAAAACATTTGCGTTGTTATCATTTATTTTATAAATAAGTGTCGTAAAATATTGTTCGATACTAGTGCGATAGAATAATTCTCGCACGAGTGTAATTGACGAATGTGATGATGAATCGCAAATCAAGCATTTCGCGCGCTATTATCGAAAAGTATTATTGTTATAAATTATAAGTAAAAGTGAAATAAATTTAATTATTCAATGTTAAAAAAGAAAAAGGTCAGTTATTTGAAAAAAAAAATTTTTGAACTTTTGTTAATACCTATTATACTAGCAAAAATCTCGCTCGCTAACGCTCGCTCGTTGTTACTATATCATACGTTTAAATAATGGTGTAAGCTCAAAAAACTGTAATTAATAATAAATTTGGAATTTTAAGCAACTTCCGCGCAAAAACTTTCGCCACGTCTACCGAAGCTTTAGCCACCTCGTATCGAAGGTATAAGACGTTTATTTGACAATAATTATTGTAAGATATCTATAGACAAAAAAGCAGCTTTGTAGATTGTAATTTAATCCCGGTATGAGTTATTATTCAGAGCGGCTTACAGTGAATCGGCGCAGCGACTGCGCTCGGGAGATCGTGCATTCCATTGCGTCTATCAAGGCTTTGCACCCTTAGATGATCGGTAGACTGTTTTTTTTTGGTTCTCTTATAAACTAAAGTATTTGAGAAAAAAATTCAGCCTTGTAGAAATAAGTCAAAAAAGTTAATTTTTCAACACCTTGCGTGGGTGGTAGACCCTTAATGGCCCCCCTTCCGACGCCGTAGACTATCACTATACTGTATTTTTAGGTATAATTGATCACTCTAAAAAGTTTCAGCCTTGTAGGTATAAGGCATTTAATTATTATTTATTTACATGTTTAAAAAATTGTTACTAACGTTTGCCCCCACATTGGCGCGGTAGACTGCCGTTCCGTTTACTTACGATATCAAAACAACAAAATGAGAAAAAATCAGCTTTGTAGGAATTGGTGCAAAATTTCTGTCGCTGCCTCCCGGACTATAACAATAATAACTAACAATTTATAAGCTGTTTCTTAGCGACCTTAAACATTAGAAAGCTTTTTCTCATTTACGCAGTTTAATCTTTGAGAAATTAAATTTTATATTTATAAAATATAAACATATCCATCAGGGATTTAATATTATTATCTATTTACTGTAACAATCAATAAATAATATAGGTATATTGTTTTAATTTCACAGTCATTAGACGAAAGAATTCAAGTTAAGGGCGCCGTATTCTTTAAATAGTGTTTTCCACAAAGACAAATAATTTCAAACATTTAATAATTGAATAATCTAAAGCTTATTAAATAATAGGAACGTTATGTCATGCCATCTGAGTATTCTCAAAGACACCGCAGTAAAACGAATAAACAGGTGCAAAAAACGATCAAACCATCAAGGTTTTAGGTACTGAAGTCTACGAAAATAGTAACTTTTTTATATATAACTCCACATGTAAATATTCTTACAACATTTACTTGCTTAGTCCTACATATAAAATTGTTTACTTTTATTTTGTAAGTACGTGAAAATAATTCTTAAAATGTGGGGTTAGGATAACAGCAAACGCATGTTTTTCAAACACTTTATTTAGTTATTATTTTATTTGAGTAAATTTAAATAGTAACAATGAATAAACAGAACATCAATGGTTTTATTTTTCTGCTTACTTTTGTTCTGTACGTTATACTTTTCAAGATTTCAATACCTAAAAACGCCAGAAATTTGACTATTTCTCGCCAGGGATATGGCCACCTTAAGAGATATTACTATAACTGAAATTCAGTTAATCAATAATTTTGAATTACCTGATGTCATTTAAAAATCTGAAAATATGACTTTGATTTGTCTCATTAATTAAGGATGATTAATAATACAGCCTTCATAAATAATTACAACCCACATGACTAGTAATTTTGTTTGAAATAGTAATTATTTTTCCTTTAATAATTAAATTTTGGTAAAATTAAAACAAAATCAATATTATATTAAAACACAACAATCCGTTTCACCGGCTGTGATTGGTGTAATTTTTCACGAGATTCTATTCAACCAATCAGCGATCGCATTATGTCGAGTGTAGACATAACGGTTTGTCATTGTTCATTGTAAATGAATCATTAATATTGGTAATGCCAAGATTAAGGGATTTTTTGTTACTAGTACCAGCCCTGTAATGTTGGTTGCCTAAGCTTGGCGGTCACGTGGCTGGTAAACATTTATGAAGGCTCTGTATGCAAACGAAAACACGAGGGGAAAACCTCTGGCCAAAACTTGTACACTAAAATACTCAGTTTCATGTAAACTAAATTACTCTTGCAGTTTGTTCCTCATTAAAACATAAACACTAACAATATTATGTACATTTTATTTTTTTGCGATTTTTTTTATTATACACTCATGGATAAAATTATCGAATATTTAAATTTTCACATTTTTTAAAGTTATTAGTAAATGTTACCGAAAGAAATGCGTTATAGAAGAAATAATAGTTTATTTTACACATTTTAAGTAGAGAATATTAAGTCTTTATCAATAGAAAGTAGTAAAAAAAAATTATGCTAAGTAATATGAAAATTAAGGATAATTATTTTTAACTTAAATAAGCAAATACTTTCTTTTGATTTGAATAATAGAGCATAGTTAATAACGAGTATTCCCATCTCGAGCTCTAATTACTGCTTGCATCCTTCTCAACATGCTACTAATTAGAGTTTGAATAAAATCTTGAGGAATTGCGTTCCATTCATATTGTGCTGCAAGTCGAAGTTCTTCTAGAGTATTTGGAACAGGATTTCTTTGTCGTATGCGGCGTTTTAGTTGATCCCACAAGTGTTCAATAGGATTTAAGTCTGGGCTATACGGCGGCCAATATAATTTTTGAATCTGCACTGTATCAAGGTAAATTAGTCACTATGCCAGCTGCGTGTGGTCGAGCGTTATCGTGCATAAATACGAACCTATCGTATCCAATGTGACCCATATATGGCAAAACGTGATCTTGGAGAATGTTTTCGATATACCAGTCACTGGTCATTTGTCCACTGACTTCCACGAGTTCGGTGCGTCCCTCCCAACTTATGCCTCCCCAAAGCATTATGCCGCCACCTCCAAAACTAACAGTCTGTATGAGATTGCAGCTGTTATATCGTTCTCCAACTCTTCTATAGACGTGATTTCGTCCATCTGGCTTCCATAATTGTATTCTAGTCTCATCAGTGAACAGAACATATTTCCAATTCTCGATATCCCACTGAATATGCGTTCTGGCAAATTCTAATCGCTGTTTTGTGATTTTGGAGAAGTCGTGGAACTTTGGCAGGCCGTCTTGGCTTTAAACCTACTTGTTTCAATCTTCGTCTAACAGTTTTCGAACTAACATTAACTTGTTTAACATTTAATAACTCATTTTTGAGGTGTGTGGATGTCAATGTGCGATTTTGGGCAGAAGTAAGATCAAAAACCGGTCATCAATTGCTGTTGTACACCTTTTGCGCCCTTGACCAGGCCTTCGCACAAAATCTCCAGTCTCTTGATACCTTTTTAAAATATTCCATACTGTAGATTAACCTCTCCTGAGACGTCATGCAATATCTTTTTGTCTATACCCTTCTTCATGTAGAGTTACAATTTGCGCCGCCTCAGCTTCACTGCAGTGTCTAACTGGTGGCATATTTTATTTTTATAGAGGAAACAACAAATTAAAATCAGTAACACATACTAAGCTTCACTACATATAACTTAATTCACTATGTTTCTTGAATTATGTGAGGAATTTTTAAGTGACAATACCCGTGATAGAAAATAACTCCATTAAAATGAATTAAATGTCAAAACATTTTAAAACAATTGAGTGTATTCACCTACTAGATGAATAATATCAACACATATATAATTTTACACCATTAATTTAAAATCGTATTCGAGTAATAGTGATAACAAAAAATATTCGATAATTTTGTCCATGAGTGTATTATATTTTAAATCAAATACTTAATAAATTTTTACTTTATTAATGGGTTTGTTGCATAAAAAAAAAGTGTAATGTTTTGTGAATACTATTCTGCAATGGAAGTTAATACGAACTGTATAAGTAATATCACTAATACCTCTTTTTTTGAATTCCACTTTAAATATTTTTGCTTGAATCATGCATCATCAACTTTGTGACATACTAGATTATAAATATGTTATTACAGAAAACTCTTTGACTAATTCCCGTTGATTGAAATATTCTCTTATTTCAGTAAATGTAATTCCTCTTTCTCTTTATTAGTAAATAAAAGGACAGTAGCATGAGGTTTTAGTTGAACTTTTTATTAACATATGGCGTAATTAAAGCATTATGATTATGCATCGAATTTTATTCACTTTTATATTTTTTAAAATGACAAATAAAAATGAAGATTTTATAGAAAAATAAAAAATAGGGGTAAGTAAAGTTTCCTGTTACATTATTTCATTTTATGATAATATGTGAAAAGGTGAGAAACAACCCATTCTGTATTTCAGTTATCAGTGCTGTAGATGAAGGGAAAAGCACAGGAGTAATTTGGCAGCTTGCATAATATTCGAGTACTATTTGAGTAAATTTTAGTAATATTAAAACAATTATTTTGTCACATCCACAATGAGTGCATGAATTAGAAGCTTCACATCCCTCATTCTCCAAGGGTTTTCCCTTAGTTATGGACATGTAGGAGTTAACCGTTTTCTTAAAGTTTAATTTCTATGCTTACCACTTTTTATTAAATATCTCTGTATACTCTGTTAAAACAACATATTTATGAAATAAGAAATACTCTTGTAAAATTCTTCCAGTTTCCTGGAGTTAGATAACAATGATCGAAATACTACTGAAGTACCAACTGAATTTATTATTATTTATTAGTTATTTAAATATATATAATAATAAATAAAATAAGAAAGTATTAAAAAATTGTGTATATTTGCCAGAAGGTATCTAACAAATGTTCTCTTAAAATATATACTTCCTCACAGGACACACTATATAAGTATCTTTTAATATGGTCTATAAAAACTTAATTATTATTCTAGTTAAATATTGAAATTTCAACAAAAACAGATTTCTTAAATTTACTAAAAAATAATCAGTATAGGTATCCGTTTCTGAGGGATAATAATATACTACAAAATTTAAGAAAAATGTACAATATAAAATTCTTACCAAAGTATTCACCCTCTTCTTCGTGTTTTTCCATTTCTTCTTCTATTTGACGAGTCATTTCTTCAATTTTTTTTTCAGCTTCAGTGGGACCTCTAGGTTTTGGAGGAGTAACACTATATGGTAGTAAATTTTTTCCCATTAGTTTCAATTTACCACTACTAGTACTGGATGCACTTGGTGTGGGACTAGGAACGGGTGATGGTCTTTTTTCTACTTTCTGAGGAACCGGAGGTTTCCTAGTAATCTCATTAGGTGGAATAATCTTAGTAGGCGTTTGAGCAATTCCAGTAGCAATAGATCTGTCATAATTTTTTGCTGAAGAAGTCTGAAATTGGGTGTTTGTGCTTAATGTAGTATGAGCAACATTACCAGTCATACACACATAATCGCTATTGTTAATTTCATCTAACTGTTGTTGAGTTAAATTTTTTGAAGGAGTTTTAAAATTTGATTGATATAATGGTGGTGATTGAGGTTGAGCTTTCGTTGCAGTTGGTGGTTGCATTACTGAATAAAGTGGATGTTGATTGTATTGGTAATTGGCAGTATTATTAATATATGGAGGAGGAGCACTAGCTGGTACTTGAGGACCTGGTGTGGCACCTGTACTCTTATGAGACAAATTTTGTATGTTCTCATAGACGGGAAGACTCTCAGCATCATGGTTGTTTCTATTGCCAACAGGAACTTGTGGCTGCGCTTTTCTGTATGTTACTGGATCACTGGACAATCTCTGAGGGTAGTAAGCTTGCTGATTGTTCCTTGTTGAATAATAATCAATATTTTCATATACTGGTCCAGAATTACTAGCAATGCTTGCTCGTGGGCTTTCCGAGTGTTGTGATGACCCACTAGCAGAATGAGTAGGGCTTGAATTAATGGGTACTTGTGGTTTAGCACACTGTACATATACATCATTTTCCTCAATTGCTTTCTGACTTGCTATTGTTTCAACTTGCTTAGGTGTTGCATATTTAGAACTAGTTATTATATTATTTCTTTCATACATTGTATAGTCATTATTCTTTTTTGTTTCAGAGGTAAAACCCTCTATAGCACCCATTGCTGTCGGTTTTTGATAATTGGATGCTGAAGGCTCAGCTTTTCCCATATTAAGTCGCCCATACCGAGCATTATCACTTTGATTATTAATCGATATGTACTGCAATTTTTGTAAATAGGACTGATCCAAATTAGTATCCATAATATTTATGAAAGACTAACTGCAGTATTCAAACTTGCAAGATAAATGTTTAATATATATTGTACTTACAATCATGCAATTAACACCACCAGATTCAAGTAATATCTACACTATCTCAAATTGCCACTTATTTCTTAAAAGTTATATTTAATCAAGTGTATTACTCATCTTATTTGTTATATTACAAGTATGATATTAACAAAACGATATCTATTCAAAAACCTTTGTGTAATAAAAAAACCGAAAATCAAAACCACTACCACAGACCCATATATCTCAATCAAATGTCAAAGTCAAAACTCAGACACAAATCACAGAACATCTTTAAAATAAGTCAAAACAACAAAATTACTGAGATTTAGCCCAGATCCACATGCACGTATGATCACAGATCCGTTGTAACCACGTGATCATCAACATCCAATTGTGCATCAGTAAAGGTATAAATAAATTGGATGGACCTTAGAGCATATACTACTGGAGGCAGCGATTGTTTTATCTTCTGTGTAGCGACCCAGTAGCCGAGACTGTATCGAAGGTTGTAGAGAGAGAGAGGTAAAGATAAGAGATACCACTCTCTAGCAGCTGCTAGAGAGATAGCAGATACCCTCCTTTACCTCTCTCTCTCTCTCTCTACAACCAGGGCCACTGGGACGCTGTCTCCAGTAGTATAGGACTGATCTGTGATCACGCATGCACGTGAATCCAGACTTACATTAGACGGAAATAAGCGCCGTGCCGTTATTTTTGGCGATGTTGTTGGTGTTTTGTGGTTGATGAATAAGTGGACTGTATCTTTTTTAATATTTGTATATTTTGTTGGATGAATGATACATACACAACTTGACAAGACGTTATATCTTTTTTTTTGACTTATTTATTTATTTTACATAGTGACACATTAGGGCCTACTTGGTTCGGCTCAACAGATGGCTTAAATGATTTGGGACCGTGGGGGTCAATCCCTCTTTGTCCTGCCTCATCGCTGTAGACCTGGACAGCCTAGTGAAGCTGGACCCCATCCGTCGGCGTCCTCTTGTCCTAGCTGACCCCCGCCAGCAGGGGGCCTCTTCTTGTCTTCTCGCTACTTTCTTCGCCGGCTTGTCTAAACCCCCGGGGGTAGTCATCGTCGCGGGCATGTGTGGCTGTGCCACTCGCGCCCTGGGAATGGGTTCTTGGGAGTAGCGTTGTAGCTAAGGATGCACGCGGCCATGGAGCCAAATGCCTCGATTAACTGTTGCGGGGAAGGGTACGTTAGGGTAGCGCGGAGTTGCTCCGCGGTCTGCGGTTGCGGCTCCGCGGAAACAGTGATTTGTCTTTTCTTGCATTCTTGGACCTGCCTGTTCCTGTAACTTAAAAGGGAGCATTCATTTCCAATCAATCACGGCGTGCTAGAGTGCGACAGTAAGTACTGAGATACTGTCTGTCTCTCTCGCACACTCAGTCACACTTTTCGCAATAGCATGCCTCCAGAGTGCTCCCCCCCCATGCTAACTTTTGCTGTTTTCTTTTACTCATGATTTCGGAATCATAACGCGTTACGATTCGTAATCTAGCAATCTGATTGGTTTCCATCGGATCGTAACACGTTATGATTCCGAAATCATGAGTAAAAGAAAAGGGCTCTTGTATGTTTCAGGAATAGCCAGGACCAAGAAGAACCAAAGAAGAGACAAATTACAAAAAGCCCGTCCCCCGCGGTGACCCTGATGTACCCTTTCCCCAGCACCGGCCTGCGAATAACTGACTCAAAGCTCAAAGGCCGCGTGCATTCAATAGTTACACACTATTCCCAAAAACCCACTCCTCACGACTACCCTCCGGGGGGGTTAGACAAGCTGGCGAAGAAAGAAAAATCAAAACACGAAGAGCGTCAGAAGAGGCTTCCCTGCCGGCGGGGGACAGCTAGGACAAGGACAAGAGGAGGTCCTACAAAGCGCCTACACCAGCCATGCTTGTAGTTGGGGTAGACGATAGACGGGGCTCACCTTCACAGACGACACTAATTGTAACAAGATTTCTCAATGTTGCCAATATAAATCGAACTAGAATTTAGTTGCTTACCAAATTTTATTGTTTAAATTTAGTTGGTATCAATTGAGTTTCACGAGTTTCTGGTGGAGGTAAAATAACCTCACTTTAAATAAGGTTCATTTGTTTA